CTATACATTTTTTAATTTATATATTTCACATAATTTTCAAATTTAAGTATTTTATAAATTTAATGCGTATTTATGCATAAATATATGCGCGTTATATTCATATTTGTGCTTAATAATCTTCAAAATGTGTTTCATTCATATACTTCATATATCATGTATTTGGAATGTAAATAACAATATTCCTGTATAATATTCTCTAGCATATAAAAATAAATTTCTGCTAAATGTATCAGATATTTTTTCAAATTTGTCTAAACTATAATTACATCTATAAAAATTTTTATACATAAACTTTAAAATTGAAGCAGAGATTTCCAAATTTTTGGTAACAATTGGAAGTACTTGCAGCCTTTTTTAACAATATAGTAATTCAAATAGGTTATTTAAATCTAATATTAATGAGATTATATTATAAACTTTCGTAAAAGTTACACGCTAGATACTCACTTTTGTTAAAAAATCATTGGTATAGACTAGGAGAAAGTTAAATTTATGATTATAAATATGCTTCTAATGTAGTTAGAAATGTTAGATAATACTGGATGAATATATCCAGCTTATATACGTGTGTGTGTATGTGTGCGCGAGCGCGCGTGTACATATATAAAACTATGTGCGTATATATGTGCATGTATGTTAGTTATTTTGCTTTTACTGGTCAAATTTGTGCTATAATATAGTATAATAATTAAAGAATTTTATAATTCAATTTTAACAATGATTTTCAGATATTTAAGCTACTTATAGCAGAGTTGCAACTAATTATGGTGTGCTAGCCCCAAAATTTTTAATTTTATCTATAAAAAACAAATTATTGAAATTCCTCATATATAAAATTTAAAATAGAATTACACAATGCACACCTAACATGCAATTGAACTATTCATATCAGATCATCGTACAACATATAAAGGCACGGTCATGTTTCGTGGTAAACGATAAGTAATACTTGCAGCTATATTTTCGGGCAATTCGTACCAAAGAAATTTTCCAATAGGAGATACATCTTCTACTGGTAACTTAAATGATACTAATAATGTTAAACAAAGTCCATCTCCTTCTTGTCCTCCACTGAACTCAATGGAAAGTATACCATGTGGCTTATGCTGTGCAACTCCACTTCCAAATAGTTCCTGAAAAGTTCGTTCAAAATTACAATATGAGATTATTTACATTTTACTATAAAAGAAATAGGAAACAATCCTTGTACATAAATCTGTACTATAAAATAATATAAAACATACATTCAAAATAAAAATTTACCTTCATATAATTATGCAGAGTAGAAAGAAAATTTCGATTTGAATTAATCTCACAAATTGGTAAATACAATGGTGTTGTGTCTGACACAAGAACATGTAATTTATTCCTGTTGATAAAATACGTCACACATAAATTTTATGTTCATTTAAAATTATAAAGGTAATAAAATATTAGTATGTTTTAATGAATTTTTTAAATATTTGAAGTTTACAGAATTTAGTATGTGCTACTTAAATTTCGGGGAAAATATTTATAAAACACTTATTTATTTACATAGTTCATTAGTTAAATTTAGAATTGTAACACAATATGGTTAGTAGTTTCGCAATTTATAGTTTATAATTTAATCTATCATTATACATATATTGTGGATCATAAAATAATTATTTTATATATATATTAATTATGGTTTATTTGTGAAAAATCAACATGATTAGCAGTATGAGTTTAAAAGAAAATGAAAAAGATATGGAGAAATACATTCATTGTTACAAATGTATATGGGCAAGTGCATGTGTATGTATGTGTACCTAGTATAATCCAATTAAGCCTTCATCCACATTCAGATCGTTGTTCTGTTATGAAAACTACCACCAGTGACCTTATACTGAAAGCGTAAATACTAAAGAGGAGTCAAGCATAAGCAGTGATATATTGATAAAAATAAACTTGAGAGTTCTATGTAATACAAATTTAAATTAAGCATACTTCAAACATATTGGACTTACGTTGCTCTCTTTTTAGAGGTGATTACAAGCCGCAATAATAATTTGCGCAATGGTCTACTAACTGGCAATAGATTTGGATGTTGCAAAATATCCTTATTCATAACATAAGCTTTACCTCTATCTATCAAGGAAACAATATCATGTGATCTGAGAGACAGATCATTTACATTATTTACCCAACATGCTTGTAATGACTCTTCATTTGCTTCTTGTAATGTTTTTAATTTACCACCAGTTATTTTGCCAGTAAATACAAATCGAAACCATGATCCAGTTGCACATTCTACTAGTATCAATGTTTCTGGTTTTAATATGAGACCTGTTTCTTCTAAAACTTCCCTTTTAACAGCATCTGTTAAATTCTCATTAGGTTCAACTCTTCCAGCTGGTAAATACCATTTTCCATTACAAGTAGCTTTTGCTTCTTGCATCATTAACACTTCTCCTTCATTATTTATGATCACAGCAGCAACAATGTATGTCACAGTTTTTTGACAAATTGGTACATATGTGCTAGGTATTCCTGTTCCTCCTATGATATATTTTTTTTTGCATAAATTGTTAATAATAAGTTACAATTGCACCAAAGAAGAAAAAATAAAAAAAATTTAAATAACAGTAAACTTAGGAAACTAAAAATTAAAGGGGTTGAACACACCAAGATTTCTAACATATTTTTTTGATTGTTCATTTCTAGTTTCCACAATACTATGTAATAAATCTTTTTAGTTGTAAAATATATGTAAAGGAATTGCATATTTAAAATATCAACACACAATCATACATAAAATTGATTTTTACCTATTTCGTTTTGTGCGGCATGGCTAGTGTCATGTGTGTCATCAATTTCTAAAGGATGACCATCTAATAATAATTCAATTTGTTTTTCAATAGTTAACGACATGTCAGTATAACAACACTGATTTTAAATTATA